ATTTACTTAAAGGGATTATTAACTCCTATAAAAATACGAAAAATACAGAATTGAAAAATCTTAAATATTTCTTACAGCTCAAATTTTTATTAATTTAAAATCAGTAGTTCTATAAAAACCTAGTAAATACATTTAAAGAACTGGAACAAAACACATTTGGGGATGAGTATTATTAAACAAATGTATATTTGAACACTTAAAAATAAAAAGGCTACAAGTAAAATAAATTTATCATATTATAATCAGGCTAAAAGGAATAAGTCAAAGATTTTATTTATTCGCAGGGTCAGAAAAATATCAAAAGAAATAGGTACCTTGTGTATATAAAATTTATATCATGAACACATTATAATAGGGTCCAAGTCATAACATTATTAGTACCAAGGAGACAGGATAAATAATACGAAATATTTATATAGTAAAACTTTATACTAATAATTATTTTTATTACAGAAAAGACAAAGTTGAATAACCTATTTACATAACCTACAATCATTTAAAACGTAGACATTAAACATATTTACTTGAAAAATAACGTTTCCTAGTAGATTTCTTAGCACTTTTTCACGGATAACATAATTTGCATTAAAATTCACAAATGGAACTTTTGGGTTTAATGTTTATTTTCATACCACCAATAATTTGCACCATATTCTGTATAACTGTTTTTTGGCATTATAAAACTGCTATTAATATTTTGAAGACTCTCTCCCATAATCACAATTAAAAACAGCACAACGATCCACCATGATTTATATATTTTAAGATTTTAAAAAATATTTATCTGTCAACACTTTTTAAATTGCAGCTCCTACTTTTATCTTTTATTTACTTTCTCGCCGGATAGATACTAGCGAACCTAGCGGATTTTGGCTAGGAAGTACGATCGGTTTTATCGCCGTTTTCATTTGTTTTTAAATAGGAGTTGATGCACCTTATAGTCCACCGTGCCTTGATGTATAGACAAATAGAGACAGGAAGAGACGTCAAAGTTGGTTAGATTTGGCATGGTTCATGGTCATGGTTGTCTGTTGTTTGTTTCAGTTTCAGAAGCTTTTTGATTTATTTCTTATTGCTTTTATCTTTTAAATAGTGAAAAAGTGGAAAAAACCGGATATGGATATTAACTCTATCCTGGGGATTTGGTAAATATTTGAAGGCTTCTGAAGGTAAGAAAAATTAGTAGTTATTAAACCGAATTCCATTTTATATGAAACAATTTGGTAATATTTGATGTATTTGTTAGAGCGGCTTAAATGCACAAGAACTTTCATTTTTCATTTGTAGTTCGTGATTTGCAATAACAGCTATGTTTTGTTTTACTTGATACAATTTTTAATAATAATAAAACGTCTTTGTTACTTTCCAACATATAGGCAAAGATGTTCAGATTAAAAATAAAGGTTGATTCATGTGCCATTTTTTTAATTTTATTTTAACCTTATAATTCTAGAAATAATTATTGTAGTTGGTCAGCTATCCTACCTACTTATACATAAAAATTCTTTTAGTTGAATAATGGTTTGACAACTGTAAATTCTGGAATTTTAAGGTTAAAATCTTGCATTTTAAAATATTTAAAATATGGTACATGAATCAACCTTATAAGATAGTTAAATCTTTATACAACAAAGTTGAATTATTAGGTGCCCATAACTTTTCTCAGAAACTAACTTTAGAAAAAAAAAGTTGATACAAAAGTTTCTTGGTTTTAAACAATTTTTTTAAATTTGAATTTATTTAATCTGAAAAGTGCTCCACCGTCTTCAACACCAAAATTTTAAATGGTACATCCTGAATGTTAATTCTTAGATTCTTCTCTGTGAACAGATTTTAACGATAGATATGTCACACATTTCTAATTAGCTAAACAGTTGAATATCGAGAAAAATGGCTACATATGTCACTATCCTATCGAAAACTAGCTGATAAGATCAACCTGCATCAAATAATTTTTCATACCACTGAATAGAACTGGAAAAGTTAGGACAGGGACATGTAAGCTGTTTTTCTTGAATTTCAACTGTTTGACTATCTACCGCCACCTAAATTTGAAAAAAATGTGATTTTTTAGTAGCTGTAGATCCATTACTGATCACATTAGATAGATACTATGATATATCGTTGAAATCTGCTTATTGAGAAGATTCTAAAAATGTAAAAATATACAGGGTATTGCATTTAAAATTCTGATGTTAAAGTTGGTGCAGCACTTTTCGGACACCATGTATTAATAAAATTCAAATAATTTAAAAAATTTAACACTTTTTTTGTAAAGTCAGTATATATTTTCTGAGTAAAGGTATAGGCCCCTAATAAATTACTCGCCCCCTATATGAACCACCTTTAATTGGATGAATTACAAATCTTTTAATCTATTTTTTTTAATGACTCATTCTTTGTATTTATTTTCATTTCGAAAAGCAGGTTATAACAATACGGTAGATCCTTTTTGGGGAAATAAAAGTGACAGGTTATTAAATTAATTTATTTTTCACTTGGCAATAATTCGTTTATTTTGCATCTAACTTAAAATACATAAACGTATCCCTAAAGGCTTATCCACAAAACATAACTTGACATAATTCGCTAGCTATCTCAGCTATGTAAAAAAGTTCTAAATTGGAGTGAACAATAAAATGTAGTTAAACCTAATTTGGATAAACTTATTTTGAAATAATTTATACATTTAAATATATTATTTATTTTTATTTGAAAAGTTACAAGAGAAGTACCATGAATTTGTTATATCAGTATATTAAATAATTGTATACTGTTTGTTTTAAATGCTCAAAATCTATTCAGCTGCTTGTTTTAATTTCTGTTTTTAGATGAGGGAATAGATGAAACTTCCTTTCCATTATTGGATGTGGAAACAATAAACACATTATTTCCAAAGGCAGGTCCACGATTGATATTCAAAAACAAATTTAAGGAATTTCAAAATTTAAATGAAATTACTTTGTTGGTACTTATTTATTCATTTGATTAAATTTTTTAAAATAATTTTTAATTCAATTTTATGAATTATTTGTGAAACGCAATAATTATTTAAATATGGAATATGTTTTTATGTTGTACATTTATTGTAGAATATTCCATTTGAATCTGATACCAAATTTGTTGCTTATTTGAATCATGAATTCCGAATTGTTTTGTTTGTGTTCCTTAAAATAAAACATGGGAAAATTATTTTTTATATTTGATATAACCCATCCCCCCACACTTCCACACTTCCCCCTCTCCATATATGGAAAGAATTATTTGATAGCCTATTCGTTGCTACTTTATTTACTACCTAAGGTTATTTGAGCACTTCTCTGTGATTATTTAATTTTCTATCTAAGGTTATGAGAGCATCTACCTGTTGCTATTTCCCTAATTTATTACGCATATTATATAACCAGCTGGTTGTTGTTTGACGAATTATTTGCGACTGATCTATTGTAAAATTGATGTTATTAGATCGTCTACTTATGGTTAAACTACTATTTATTTGGATATTTTATCACTAGCTTGGTGCTATTTTATCGTTTATTTATAGTTATTCGATGTGTATGTTTCTGTAGAATAACTGTATGTTACTGTATAGTGGCTATACTGTAAAAGAATAAACTGCAGCATGATTAAGGGTTATTCGACCATTGATTAACGGTTATTCGATCATTTCAACAAGATCAAACTAATAATGACAAGTTGATCTTTTTGCTGTCACGTATGGTATCCACATATCTATTATGGGTTATTTGATATCGACTAACGGTTATTAGATATTTTTCTCGGTGTAATAAAACATAAAAAAATATATTTTGTGTCCTTCTACGCTTCTGTACTATCCTTCATAATTTACATAATATTTATGTATTGTTACCAGACATAAACAGGAAATATTTTGAATTATTAGTAGAATATTTTATGAAAATTGAATATGTGGTAGTGCTCGCTTATTTAACCACGTTTATTGCTCTCTCGGCAACTCACTATATTATTTATTTTATTATACCTACGTCCAAAACTACAATCTGAGTATAATATTCAGGAGAAAGTCCAGATTTTAAATACCGGCCGTCCATTTTAAAGGTTTATAAGAGATCAATGTTGGATTTTCACTCATTATCTTATTTTTTTCTGGCGTATTTCACTTTGGAACACTGCAATTTCCGGGTTAAATTGGAAATAAGTTTCGCCCTTTTCAGTAATAGAACAACTTTGTTATTTCAAATGATTTTCAAATATTTCTAAAAATGTAGAATGTGTTTAACAGTTTGTTGTTAAAACAGAAGTAAAATGAAAAGACGTGTTATAGTAAAACCTTTGACAATAGGGTAGCAGCCATGTATGAGTTGAGGGTAATTTAGAGGTGAGGAAAAGCAAAACTTCATTACATCTCTTTCCTCTTACTCTTATTAGATAGGATATGAAATTATATCCGTTTGGTAGACCGATATCGTCCACCTATTCTTATTATTTCTGTAGTTTGCCCAGAAAGTGAATAATACACAATGTGGATGTAAAAATTATTTTAAACACTCCTACTGCGATCATACTAATAAGTATGGCATTATTGATCGACACAGAAAAATAAACATTTTCTAGTCCTAATGGAAGATGTAGATTTATAAAATTCACTTATGGATGAGTGAAGTTAGAAAGTAGATCTAAGGAAAATCAAAGTTCGCTTATAGCACAGTTTATTCAATAAGCTGTGCTTGCAGTAACCCAGTGAAAAATAAGTGGATATAATTCAGTGTTGTCCTATTAGTCAAAGTAATTGTTTTCCGTATTATTTTGTTACACATTACTTTCAGATGTTCTTATTTTTCTTTAATTAATATCAAAACTAAATATATTTTTTTAGGAACGCATTATTTTTTTAACTCGGGAGGGGGGGCTTTAACTTCGTGAAGGTGCTAAACCAAAACATTGTTTTCAAAGAGTAGGAAATTTGCAATTGCCGAGACACTTCGCTTTTAGAAATACGATAATACGGAAGAACTCACCTCTCTTATGTCAATTTTGCCATCTTGATTATCGTCATAAGCTTCCATAAAACAAGATTTCAGTTCTACTAACATCTCATCGGACACAACCTGAAAAAAAAATAATTTAACGTAAATAAAATTATTTAATATTGGATCAAAATTAGTAACATCGTAACATCCTATACCGAGGGGAACACCGAAAACAGCAACCATAGATATTTTGACATTTAGACAATAAGATGCAAGTGGAATGAATACGTCAGTATGAAAAAATTAATTTTTTTTACTAAAAATTAGGCTGAGCACTTTCGGCTTGCAAAGCCGTCGTCAAAGCCGTGGACTAAGATACTCTCCATATGGGATCAATCAAAGAATTGTTGATAAAAACAACAAATACAAAATTGACAATCAAGGCCGGTAAAGACACCGAAGCTACGTAAAACCCTCTATAAGGTATAACATTATTCTAACTTACTATTTAAAATTATTTATTCAAACATCGTCTACAATGATTCAACATGTGGCATGCATTACTTTTTTAAAAAAGCAATACAGATGGTATCGGTTTATATTCGTCTTGCGATGAAAATATATTTCCTTTATTAAAAAAATGCCTACAAGGTTTGGTCACCACTACCAATAACCCCACTACCAGAGTTTTTACAAAAGAAGAAGTAAAAGACAAGATTAAAAATAATTTAGACTCAAACAAAGCTCCAAGCTACAATTTGATAACAGGTAAACTCATAAAGAACTACCATAAAAAAGGTTTTAGAAAAATCATGTAAAAACAAAAATTATAGAGATCGATATCGCAAACAACTTTTAGTGTAACAATTTTTTTAAAAATCAGAATTTTGCACATTTTATCAATTTATCGAATTCTCGAATATCAGGAAAATTTGACATAAAGCAAAAATTATAGATAATAATATTAGAAGTAACTTGTATTTAAACAATTTTCTTCTCCAAAGATAAATAACAGATATATTCCATAAAATATAAAAACGGCCTCCCATAAAGTACCCCCCCAGATGTTCCGACTTTATCCAAAATCTAATCATTTCACATCAGGCCGAAATAAAACTTAAGTTTAAACTTTAATGTTTTTTCCTTTATCCGTTTTAGAGTTTTCTTCAAAATTCGAAATTTACACATTTTCTCAAATATCTGGAATACGGTCCATTTTAGAGAAATTATGTACAAAATAAAAATAGTAGAGAATTTTATTACAAACAACTTTTATTTGAACAATTTTTATAAAAAATTATTTTTTTTGCATTTTGTCAAATTTCTCGAAAACGGCCCATTTTAGAAAAATTTTGTGCGAAACAAAAAATATTGATAATAATATTGTAAGTAACTTTTATTTGAAGAATTTTCTTCTCCAAACGTAAATAACAGATATATTCCATAAAATATAAAAATGACCACCCATAAAGTACACCCCCAGATGTTCCGACTCTGTCCAAAATCAAATCAGTTTATTGGACGCCGGAATAAAGTTTAAGTTTAAAATTTGGTGTTTTTCTTTGTATTGGTTTATGAGTTATGGTGGATACAGACACACAGACACACAGACACACAGACACACAGACACACAGACACACAGACACACACACACACACACACCCGCACACACCCGCACACACCCGCACACACCCGCACACACCCGCACACACCCGCACACACCCGCACACACCCGCACACACCCGCACACACACACCCGCACACACCCGCACACACCCGCACTTGTTTAATTAAGTATTCAATTCGTGTTTTAGGTTAGACAGAGCTGTCGCATTAAAAAGAGCGAGGTTTCCATTAAATTGAGTAGGTATGGTGTTTCCAAATGCGCCTTTTATGAACGACTACTACGATTACTTTACATTATTGTCATACAACGAAATAAATGGCGCACTTTCCTGAAAACCACATACAGCTACAACAGTTGCAACCAGAAAAAGACATCAAACAGATAATAACTAACATTAAGAATACAAATATATTTCCTTAATGTAATTTTGAGAGCCTTTTATACGTTTTAGAGCCTAATGCAAATTCCGAATTGTAACCACAAACCATCCTTGTACATAGACTCTCCCGTAATAACAACGTTTATGCTTGCAATTAGCCGTTTGTAAAGAAAATTGGTCTAGTAGTTGTTCGGCGTTCAACATAATAACTTACCTCTGGACCTACATCTGAAACATTGGCACTGGACACAAATTCTCTTAAAAAGCCGTCTAATTCTATTCCTTCAATGTATCCATTTCCTAGAACAAACAAAGTGCTACTGTAACAACATTGTTAAAACCCATGTACCTCGAATAAGGGAGAATGTTATATTATAGAATGGAGTTATTTTAGATTATTGGATAAGCACATGAATTTCAAGGAAGAGAGATATTTAGTCACTTTGGCGAATAAATTACCTGAAATATATAAATTAGAAAAATATACAGAATTTTCTGAAAAATAATGCGCTTTTTTTGATAGTTCATATAATTTACAACAATTGATTCATAAAAAAGTGGTATAAATAAAAGGTATTTTTTAGCGAGTGTTTGGTTTAAAATATTTTCGACTGTTTTAAACCGTTTAAATTTTAGCGATGCAACTATGACGTCACTTACGAAATATTTTAAACCAAAGCTAAAATTTTTGAACCAGTTGGAGGCATATGGTTCAATAACGGTTGACACATAAGAGATTCTGATTTTGGCTGTTGTATGTTGTTTTGCTCTATTCCATCTTTGAACATTTTAATATATTTGACGTTTTGTTGATTTTATTGATTTTTGATAACTTCATACATATATGTGATTCATATTCATACATTAATTGGTTATAATGTTATAATACAATTATTAATATTTATGGTCATCATAAACAGTTGGGCGATGTGATCTACCTGTAGGTTACTCTTGATTATGAAACAACTGTTTTTTGCAAACATAATTACGTAGTTTGCTTCAGATTCTGAATTTGCCAGCAAATATATAAAAGCAATTAAACGTTCTTTGGCAGTTGATGAACTTTGGAAAAGCCCAAAAAATCTACAGCAAATAATCGTTAGAAATCGCGTATCATAAATATATGATCCCATGTTAATTAACAAGAAAAATACCAAAAATACAACAGTAAACAACATTTTAGATTGCAATGTATTAAAAATCCACCAATTTTTAATTAAAATCGCTATCAAACACTTATCTTCCTTCATCTGATTTAAAATAATCATTAAAAAAAAATTAATTCATTTTTTAAATCGACTTCGCTTCTCCTTTCTAGAACTTATTTCAACCGGTAATCCATCAAAAAATAATACGATCGAAATCAGTATTTAAAATTTTGTCACATGACAGTTAGCAGGTTATATTTTTAAAACAATCTATTTTTGCCATCTATTAATTCATGACGTCACTTTAAATATGGTTTAAAAAATATTTTAAACCAATGTGGTGGCTAAAAAACAGCTCAAATTAAAATTTATAAAGAAACTGTATATCTGGCAACACAGTAGTTAAAAATAATACACCATCATCCTCGCACGGTTGAAGAAATGTTTATAGTATGTAGCTTAATAATTAAGAGCTTTAAAGTCATGCCCACAAAAATGTCAAAAAGGGGTCTGTAGTTGACACCTGTGTCTAGGTTAGGGCTGGGCACATACGGGCTGGGTAAAATGATCGATCAATCGATTAAATTAAAAAAAATCAATAATTGATTAATCGGTTATTTTCGATTCATCAGTTATTTTCGATTAACCGAATATTTTCAATTAATTGATTATTATCGATTAATCGATTATTTTCGATTAATCGATTATTTTCGATTTTTTAAAGCTAACTATTCATGGAGGTAAAAGGCAGGGAGACGCTGTCACGTGGTCCAAGACGGGTTCACTTCCGCCATTTTAGGTTGACGAATACTTCAAACAGCTAATCATGGTTTCAATTAACGGTTTTTTCTATTTTTATGTCGTTTGCCAACTAAATATATTGTACATATTAAAAGTTAAACATTGGTTGCTTGTGCTCAACGTATTTTTAGCAACATAATAGATATTTATATAAAAAAATTATCTGAAATAACATTTCACAACTAAATATACAACATAGTAAACAATGTGCAGGGTCGTATTTGAGATATTAATTGTGCTTTGAGTGAAAGTGTTTTAACCATATTAGGGTTTTGTAAAGATGAATTAAAAATGAGAGAATTTGCTGCAGTTGGTGCAAAAATTAGAATTAAAATAATCATAAATATTCTCTTTGTTATCTTAAATTCTATAAATTTACTTCAGTTTCATTATAAAAAGCATATGGCTTTAAAGAAAATATGAAAGTATACCTAGAAACTTTTTTAAATGACATGGATATTAGTGCCTTAAAAACACGTAATTTACATCAAAAATTTAAATTCTCATTGGCTTTAAAAATACTATTTTCACGTTGACATATGACATTTCACATGAAAATCTTGAGAGAAATGACTACTTTTAAGTTTGAAAATAAGTCCGTAATTTACAAAAATTATTAGTAGGCACATGTTGAAGTTTTTGTGGAAATTGTATTCCTCTAGATAGACTTCGAATTTTAAAATGTCCTCTTCGTCAAATCAACGAATCGTCAAGAGACTATAGAGCTCTTGGCTTATCAGAGAGTTAGGATAGTGTGCTAGACGTTACTGAGCATGATCGAATTATTTACTAAATCCACGCCATCGGGATTTACAAAATATATTGTTATACATATATTTAAAGTGACCATATTTTGAAAAGTAGAAAGCGGGACAAATCGAAAACAAGGATATATTTGTACGAATTCTTTTTGCAGTAGTGACGGTTTGGTTCATTTAAGAGCAAAAAAATATATATAAAAGAGTAGGATGTCACGTCACCATAAAAATTGAAATATTTATATTTTTTTCGTTAGACAAAAGCGGGACGCATGTTAAAATCGGGACTAGTGGTTTAAAATCGGAACTGTCCCGCCTAAATCGAGAAAAATATTTTCGTTCATTGACAAAAAAAATAAAAATCCCTCTATGCTCTATGGATGTTAAACGTTTGTCTTTAATGTGAATACATAATAAAAAGGAGTTAATACTTTAAATTATCCACCTTATTTTAGTAAAATGTGTAGTGTGTTCAGTGCTACAAGTCATTTATAAATTAAAATATATTTGCAAATTGGTCAGCATCCCTTGTATAACCCAACAAATATACAAATATTAGGATGTTTTACCTCATTAAAAATAAAATAAAAAAATTTGATAGTATAAGACATCATAACAATAACATTGTATTTTTTAATGGCCAATATAAACATAATTTTTATATTATTTGTTATTTTGCCATAATATATTTTCAATTAATACCTATCAACTGTTTGATTATTCTATGTAATAGCAGTTTCGGTCTAAAATAACAGTTATGTTAAACCATGATTATATTAAATGAAATTTATAGACTTTGTTTTTCTATAAAATACTATCTTTCACATTTTTTATTCCTTGAAACTTATTTTATCAATAAGTGGAATTATCGGTGGAATTACTAAAAATTAGTTTATATGACCTTAATCATCCATTTTATAACAATTAATAAATATTGCTAACATTTTCCAAAAAAAAAAATAAAATAAAAATATAGATTTGGGTTTCATTCAGAAAAAGTTCGTATTTGGTGGATCGGCCATATTGGATTGACAACATCCACGCCAAGTGATACCGTTTTAAATGTTTGAAAAATATACTTATAGCGTCTCCCTACATTCTACCTCCATGTAATTATTATATCTGATATCGATTAGGTAGTCGATTAGTTAAAATAATCTAATGATCGTTTAATAGAATAATCGAAAAATACAAAAAATCTTTTAATCTAGTAATAAATGTTAAAATTATATTAAAATATAACTTTTTATTTTTTTTGTGTGTGTCATCGGCTTCAACTGCTAAGGTTATTCCGCCTCGTGTTCTGTGTAGGTTTTGTTACTGTTTCCCAGCGCCATTTTAGGAACAGCACTGTTAATTAGAACCCAAAAGTGAATGGTCAAGTGAGGAATCCTACCAAGGCATCAGAATTAATTTTAAATAATTAAATTAAATAAATTAAATTAAAAAATCCCGGCCAACGATGGGATTTGACCTGGGACCCTTGGATCCGAAGGCAGAGACTCTACCACTAAGCCACCCACCCTCTAAGTTTTTTTTTTATTTTATTTATTTTTTTTTTTCGAGGAGCAATGTATCTAGTTTGCATGACTTCCTGTGTTCGGCTTCGCCTCACACGAAAAATTGTCAAGCTCGCGCGGGAAAAGCGTATTTTCTGAACTCGTAATGAAATATACTATTTCAATCGAATAGAGAGTTAAAAATACTTTCAAATGAGCTATCGCTATTACTATTAAAAAAAATAAACGGAGTAGCTACTACAGATACGTTCTCGCTAAATAACGTAGAGCGCCACCTGCTTTCAGCTTTCGTTGCGTAGAAACAAAAATCATCTACATCTTCAGACATATTTTTCTCATTGTCTTGTTCTTTTAAATTTCCAAATAGAGCCAAAATATGAATTAAAAATGTTAAGAGGAACTAAAATTATGATCAAGTTTAAATCATTGCACTTGTTTTTAAGTGATTTTAATTTATTACTTTGTTTAATAAATAAAACAACCAAGATGCTAAAGTTTGTCTTGGACATTTTTGAATTTTACAAATTTAAATAGACACATTGTACTGGTATATAAGTATAAAGCATTTAATAACATTAGTCAAATTATAAATCAATGAGATTCTAACATTTTCAGTGACATTTTGGGCCTTGTACATTTGATAACCCTTTGCAGAAAACAAAACTATTATCGTCTGTATATTATTATAATTACTATAAAAGCTCTTGTTTTTATATTATTTTTACTGGAAATGTAATTTAAAAACGAAATACTAAAATATGTAAGAGGCCGGGGCATTGAGGCAGGAGGGGTAGCAAGGTATAGTGGGGTAGCGCCCTCGGTAGCGCCTTTAGAGCTACTAAAAATTACCGGACAACGGGATAGTGATGCGGCTATTGGTTTCCACCTTAATTTTTTTATGGGTTTCCAGTTGCAACGAGACGTGCGTACGAAGTAGACGTGCTAGATCACCAAAGTTTTCTTATTTATTGAGTAAAAATTCACATTGAAAAGTAATAATGCTAAAATGTCCAACAAGTTCCCTACGGATTGCGGTGTCTCTTAGGCATTTAAATATTTAACACGGCCGAGTACAATCAAAGTTAAGAGTCACAGCCATGTTTAATTAACTCATATGAAGCAAAGCGGGATAGTCGATTGGGGCAACGTGGGAAACATTTATTTAGTGCCCAACAATGACCCTCAATACCCCCACAATGCCGCATGTTTATTGTATAGTTTTTGTTTATGGACGCTCTTTCTTTAATTACAGCACGACGGTTAGGACGTATAAGCGAATATCAGAGCAGCATTCTTGGTCTTTGGAAACAACGAAGGAAGCCGTCCTCAGCTATGTTGTTGGAGAAATGAGGTACAAAAAGCAGCGCAAGAATACAATGTGCCACAAAATACCGTTGCCTCACTAGGCCCATTTTGTATCCTCCTAAGATGATAGGCACCTCATAGCTCGTGTGCCAGCCTACATATTTAATGTAGTTGACAACGTCGCCAAGAGGTGCTTTTCTTATATCGGCCGGTGTTAGCCAATTCTGGCCGAACACAAATCTTCTAATAAATAAGAGCGACGGGCAATCATAGATAATATGCTCGATAGCCTCATATTCTTGTTCGCATTCCCTGCAGAGTGCATATTCTGCCAGCCCCGTAATATGGATATGCTTCCGTAGTTGGTAATGTCCAGTCAGAATGCCTGTGGTCAGGCGCAGATTCTGTCTAGTCATAGTCAAGTATTTGTTTGCTGTAGTGTTGTCAGTAAAACTTAAAAGCTCCCTGGCAAGTCTGCAGCTTCTTGTTTCATCCCATATTTCCTTGAATTTCACAAGGAAATGTTCTTTAATTAGGTTTGTCACTACCGATGTTGTCAGTTCAATGGAGGGGTCAGGTCCAAAAAGAATTTGGTTGGCTGCCTTCTTGGCAAGTGAATCAGCAAGACGATTGCCTTTCGATGTGGCATGATCCATCTTAAGTTGACCACATTGTTGATGGATATTTCGGCCAAAGCTTCGTGATATTCTAGTACTAGCCCTGAATAAATTCGTGGTCTGTCCAGGGTGAGTAGTGCTTGTCTGTTATCTGTATGGATCAGCATGTTTATTGCAGTGATATTATTTTTGGTGATTTCTTCTTCTGCTATAAGAATTCCCGTGAGCTCGGTTTGAACTACACTGGCACTACTGCTTACAGCCCATTTTATGTTTAGGTTTAAGGATCTGGAGTATATTCCACATCCTGAGCCTTGTTTTGCTTTAGAACCGTCGGTGTAGATATTAATCGTAGGGTACGATTCATACCTGCCACTTCCGGCTCTTCTATTTGTTCTATTATAATTTTATATGGCTTATGGAAAATATATTGGTGATATGGAGTCCATGTTCGCTTGAAATAGTGGGGGCATATCGAGGGAGTGCGACTAAGAATGACTTCTTCCATGGCTCTGGTTGGTGTGGTTTTCATGGCTCCTGTTATGTTGAGACATGCTGTTCTTTGAATTTGTTCTAATTTGCGGATAGCTGTCAATTTTTGCTTTTTCGGTACATGTTAGCATAGGTCTTATGATGGCTATGCAAGTACATGTGACTTACGGTTCGGCAGCATTGTTAATAAACAATGAATCCTCTTGTTACTCTCTTTTCTAGATGTGAGTTCCAAGTTAACATGCTCTCAAAGGTGCTTCGCCTTTGTTGCAAAGTTTGGTTTTGTGTTTAAGAGGTCTGAAGATTTTAATTCCATTTTTATCCTTTTCTGTCTTCTTGGGATTGATAGACAGTAAATGGTCCACTGTTCTATAATTTGAAGAGATACTTGCATTATTTCGCAGAGTATGTTTTTAAAATTCCTTTTTTGCATAATGACCAGGTCATCTGCATATGCTATTGAGTCGGCTGATGAGGGTGTCGAGGACCATGTTTCACAGTAGAGGTGATAGCACCCCTCCCTGTGGACATCCCCTCGCAACCAAGCCTTTTTTATTCACATGTTCTACACTTAATGTTTACTGCTCGCTTTAAGAGCATGTTAGATATCTACCCATTAACCATCTGTAGAACATTCCTATTGGTGAGTAAAGGTCTACATACATTTAAATTTTTTTTTTTTTTAGTAGTGGTTTGGCTGCGAGTATAATTATTGTGTGTGCACCAATCAGAAATACAAATTGGCAAATTATCAGAAATAATTTCATAAGAAATTTACAAAAAAGCGTTGTTACAAGGATTTAGAAACTGAAAAAGGAGAAATAACAGTTTGATAGCCTGAAAAATGAAAAAAATAAGAATGTTTTATTTGGCAACTAACTGTAAATAGTTATAATTAAAGATTATTTCGTGTTTTAATAGTTTTATGAACATTATATTTCATGCCACTATCGTACAATGCTACTAGGTACTTATAACGAGCGGGTAATAGCATTTACCCGCGAGTGAAATACTATTCTTTTTCTATGATTATTCATTTTTGTTGAAAATTATTAACAAAATAACACCGACAGCGCACAAAACTGACCATTTGTTGGAACGGCAGAGGGGCGGGGTGGTGTTACCAGATAGGTTTCATGTCGAATGTTCTGATTGGTTCTTAAATAGTTAAGTAATGACATGCGATTTTTTAATTGGTTGAATATAATTGAGTAATGGAGGAAATAATTGAGTAATGAAAAAAAAAGAAAGACCCACTGTATGAGTAACCACTTACATTAATCAATAGAAAGTGGATGTATAATACGTATATTGTTAAATAATCATATAAAAATTAAATTATTAAATCTTAGGATTTTTTAAACTCACCATCTTTATCGTAATGGCTCCAGACTTCCATAAATTGATTAGCCGATAGCTTTTTTAGCTCTCTAGAATGGGGATCTCTGAACTGTCGCATAAAATTTGTTGCCTTTTCCAAGTTCAGGCGTTTCGCTGTTATCTGGTCTGCAGAGGTCATTTTTCTAGAACAAAAAGTTTGAGTGTTAAGTATTGTTTGTTGATTTCATCCATTTTTTTTTTCAGAGGAACAAACACCATATTAAGAAACAATCATAGTATTTATACATTTTAATATACAGGGTGAAAATTTGAAGACGTAAAAATGATATCAGGAAATGCTTAAAACCGTCTAGGATAGGAATTTATGAGTGGTTCAATAGTAGGTACACAATAATTAAGGATCCATTTAAAAAAAATGGTGCGTTCATCTGAATCAAATATTTTTAAATATTTCTAGATTAGGAGTACAAAATAAAAATAATTTATTATCTACTTTTGTATTTTATTCGAGCGTTAAAGGCAATCTTAGCAGCGATTTTTGATTACCACGACATCTATTTATCTATTCTAAACTGTAAGAAGTTGAATACTATTTAAATTAAAATTTAAAACAGCTCTAATCAATATATATATATATAAATATCAATCACTTTCTGACCAATACCATATCAAAATAATAACTTTTGCCAAACCGTGGGGCGCACAAGTGTCTCTTCCAGAGTTTCGTCACATGAATTTACAATAGCTATCATAAGACCTATGCTGATGTATGGTGAAGTTGTCTGGGTACCGAAAACATACACAAAGACAAATACAAAGAATAGCACAACGAAGCCATGAAAACATTATCCATATATATCTTTGTCTCACTTCCCTTAATTAAGGAGGTTTCTCTGGTTACAACAATTACACGACTCCGCATGGTTGGGACAGAACCTGACGTAGAATCTGGTCAGGCAAGACGTAAAGTACACAGCAGTGCCGTTTGCCGTAGTTCCTGTCCAACTTACCCGCAAACTATGCCCAATAAAGACACGTATTCTCCCAAGAAACAAATAGCTTTTTTCCTTTTTTGCTAAAGTGGAGAAGTTTACAAGAACACCTCCAACACTTGGCTTCTTTCTATTTTCCGAATCCTAAGAAAACAAATTCTCTCTCATACTCTAAAAGGCCTCAAATGCTTATACTCAAGATATCCTTAAAGCTCCTTGGCATCCTCGTTGCCTTTCTCTCTTCCGCAAATCTAATAAAAAAACTTTCCCAATCTAACATACGAGTACTCTCCGACACTCACGACCTCCTTCGTAAGCAAACCAGTTGATCCTGACTGGATTCTGCGCCAATATCAATCAGGTAAACTCAACCACTCTATTTATAACATAGAACAGTATTGTAAAGAATCGTGATTTATTTTTTTGTGGTGTTCCTTTTTCCCACTTTATTCCAAATAAAACCTGGAAATAGCAGAATTGGTTATTCTACTTCTGGGAATTAAATCCGCCACACAGAGATCCCACGCGCCCAGAATTAGGAATATTAGCTAGCTAGGTTACTTATGGTAATTAGAGCAAAACACCCTAAAAAGTATAACTCCTATATCAAGGTATCAGGAAAACGAGATGTCCCAGAAATTGTAAATAAAAACAAATGAATATTAAAAAAAATAAAAATAAAACTTCAATATATGGGGTGTTAGTAAATAAGTGCGACAAACTTTAGGGTGTGGTTCTGCATGAAAAAATAATGACAATTTGCTTTATAAACGTATGTCTGAAAATGCTTCGTTTTCCGAATACGGGGTGTTAAAGTTTTTCATAAAAACTGATGATTTACTTATTGCTCTGAATCCCGTAGAGATATGCAAATGAAATTTGGTGGGCTTTAAGAGGTAGTTATTGCGCATTTTTTGACATGCATTTAAGAACTTTATGTTCATCATTGTCACACATACGGGTAATGATCTCAATTATTTTAAAGAAAAAAATGGTACGCCACTGAGATATTTCAAATTAAAAATCACTTTTGAGTTCCTCGTTCAATCTGCGACAAAAAATCTTTTCGTATGGGGCATATCTTGCAGAGCAATAAACAAATCGTCAGTTTTTAAGAAAAACTTTAACACCCTGTATTCGGAAAACGAAGCATTTTCAGACATACATTTATATAGCAAACTGTCATTTTTTTTTCATGCTGAATCACCCCCTGAAGTTTGTCGCACTTATTTACTAACACCCATACGGGGTGGGTGGCTCAGTGGTAGAGTCTCTGCCTCCGGATCCAAGGATCCCAGGTTCGAATCACACCGTTAACCGGGATTTTTTAATTTAATTTAATTATTTAAAATTAATTCTGATGCCTTGGTAGGATTCCCCACTCGACCATTCACTGTTGGGTACTAATTAACAGTGCTGTTCCTAAAGTGGCGCTGGGAAACAGTAACAAAGCCTACATAGAACGCGAGGCTAATAACCGAAGCAGTTGATGCCGATGACACACAAAAAAAACTTCTATATAAACATCAGTTTTAATAAATTGTGTGAATGGTAACTTAGCGAAAACATCTAAGGCAGAAATTCCATGAACAAGCATAATTTGATGATTTGATAATGTAATTCAAAGGCGCCAAATTCTTTCTGGGGTATTGTAAAAACCGCAAAAACTAAAAAAAAAAAAAACAAAAATCTTCAGAAAAAATGTCTTCTTTGTGAATGGCACAGGTAAAAACAATTCATCTAAGGACAATCGTTTCAAAAACAAGACTAATTGATAAACATAAATGTTATAAAAGCCGAGGTCGTTTCGCTAAGAGAATGTTAAGGATCGAACTATATATGAACAATGATCTCGCTAGGTTTTTTCAAGGGGGTTAATTGAAAATGATATAGAAAACGATATTATATAATTAGAAATAAATAAAAAAATCATAAATAAACTCCATATTCTTTAGGTTAGAAAGAATATGAATAAAATAGTTGGTACAAAAACAAAAATTCAATTTCAAACATACAATATTACAGATCATGCCTTATAAAAGAAATTCTAATTTTCTTGTTTTCTGGAAAGCAAATCTATTCACAGCATCATAGTCTTTGATGGCAGGTGTGGTTTTCCGGGTTTTTCTCACTCGTAAAGGGGTAGGGAGAGTATTATTATTTCATATTTTCGATGAAAGCGTAAAAGGACTAAGCTTACTAGTCCCTTTCTTGGCCTATAGTCAATCTTAAATAAGTTTTAAGGCGTAAGGAAGAAAATGAGCCTTCAGACATGCTACACTCACGGGTAAATGCAATTCTGAATTTATTATTGGAGAAATATCCTTATCACGCATTTTCAAGACTTTCACTGCATTTTCTTAAATAGGCTCTTCGGTTGTTCTGAAATTTTTAGACCACAATTCAAGCTCTGGCTGCAATTTATTGAAAATACACTCAATCTTTAATTTCTTTCCAAAAATGCTGTACATAACAGCTTAAATAATCTGTCATTTACTTCAATTCTGCTTAATTTTCTTTAGGATCAGGGAAAGTATCAGTATCAGAAAGTCCACATTATCTAGCAAAAGAATGAATAATGTAATTATTCTGTATTATTTCTCATAAATATTAGTATCCAATAACATTGGCCCTATTTATTTGTCTTGAGCTGACTTTAGGAAGATGCATCCAATTTTTCGTGGAGAATTTTGATTACCTTAAAAATTAAATAAAAACACATCTCATTTGTTCTTCAATACTAAAATAATACGTTCAACTATTTTTTGCACAACACTTTTATATGTAAATAAATATATATTTAAATTTTTTATAGGCCTGCATTTGCCTGGGGGTTAACTGTCCCCATTACTCCCTCGTAGAGACGCCATTGTATATGAGTATCATGGGTAGGTCAGAAAAAGTCGAATGGGTCTGGCTAGAATACAGAATCTAGTAATAGGCACAGAAAAGCCCAACATCAGAAAGTTTTATGAAGGGATATCCCTCTCAAAGTTAATAGGTCTAATAAAAGGGGCAAGACTAGAGAAAGTAATCTAAGAAAGGGCAACAAAAGGTCCCAGTAGTATAAGCTAATGCCTGTATCTGTAATACAATGTCTAATACTCCAGGTTGAATACGTGTTATTATCTATAAAGAGTTATAAATAAAAATCCTAAAAAGAACAAGTAACAACTTTGACTGCAGTCCGGATAAATACTATTTTTACATTGAGCTATTAGGGAACAGTGAGGTCGCTGATTTTGACTAACACTTTTGATAGATGCAATTTATTTTAGTAATTTTAGTTTAGCATTTGTGTGTTATAGGGTGATTTGATGTTTATTTTTCTTTTTAAAATCTTTATTTGTGAATATGAATAACATTTCGGACAATGGGTAGGATGAATAAAAATTGGGTTTACATAAAAATTAGTAATTACTTAATAGTTATAAATATGCTTGATTGATTAATATTAAATAATTAGAATTTCCCAATTCTAACTAAACATTTTATTCATTGAAAAATTAGCACTATTTGTTACTAATTTTTATATTAGTTATTATTGTACGGGAAATCTCGTGGAAATGTAGCTGCTTCATTTAGGAACAGGTACGTACTTCGCATTTTCAAGAAGACAAAAAAGTAAGAAATTTATTTTTTATCAAATTTCAAACCGTTAAATGTGATTTAATCCATGATACTTAGCTGACGAAATATCGTGTATTGTATTGTATTGTGGTGTAGAATATGGTTATCTGATTGGCCATGATCCGATTAAAATTTATTTTCGCGCACTGTTTTCGATCAGCTGATACGTCAAATTCGTAAAAGCCACGCCTTCCATCACAATACATCACCGTGCCGTCTAGTATTAATCTGCGTAATATCATACCTTCCTTTTATAGTATCATGATTTACCCCTATCCAAAAAGGACATACGTATTAAAAATAAAAACTAAGCTGTAGTTACGTGGACACATATAACATTAAAACAATATTATATTTATTCTTATCATATCCATTTCAATGCTTAGCTTGTACTTCTAATCTTTTTGTGTTAATTTCCATGTAATAATAAGTAGATTTTGTCTAGCTTTCGTCAAAAAAACGTGTATCTTTTAATTAATAAAAATTGTTTTCTAAAAACCTGTTATCAGTTTCAAAATACATATTTCTGTTTGTTCTGATACATACATAATGAGTACCTA